AGATTTTCATTGCTAACAAGGCTGTGCAATCATCACACATAGGACTCTCCAAGGTAGTTTCCGTAACTTCAGAGATGTAAGGCTCTTGTCCCGGTTTCTGGGCCTCATAATCAGGGATGAAGGGAAAAGCTTGATTCAGGCATGATTGATAACTTTGTTTCTGTTTGTTTCATTCATCCAAGCACTTCCCTCCAATGTTTCTGAGCTGTCATCTTCCTTAGAGGCATTCCCTATTACTTGTTATTCCAGAGTAGTCTGTATCACTCTTTCCAAAAACGTTTCATCCTTCCCAATAATGATTCTTTCTGATAATGAAAGTTAATAGAGACAAATGCAAAATTCTATATTTAGACTACAAAAACTAAATGTAAATGTATAGGATGTGGGATACTTGGCAAATGAAAAGCACCTTGGGATTATTGCTGATCCTCAGTTGAGCAGTGTAATGCTGCAGTAAAGATGACAAATAATATTTTAATCTGCATTAATAGAACTAAAGCTTCCAAGACAAGGGAAGTAAGAGTCTCACTATGTTCTACACTAACAAAGATTCATCTAGAGTACTGTCTTCCATTCTGGGCATGTCATTTAGGAGGAGTACAGATGAGAAGGATGAAAACAGGCAAGGAAAACAAAACATATGAGGAAATGTTTGGAGTTGGGCATATTCGTCCTGGTAAATACAGGTAGATGTCTGAGATGTGGCATGATTGCATTCTTTAAATAGCTTAAGGGCTGTCACATAGAGGAGGGTAAAGGTTTGTGCTCTGCTGCCATAGGACCAGATTGGATGTCTCTTAAGTTAGAGGAGGGTAGATTCTGAGTGAAGAAACTTCTTGACAACTGGAGCTACTTGATAATGGAATCAATTACCTTAAAGGAATCCTTTTTTAAAAAAAATCCTTTTAAAAACCACATATGGAATCTGTTTCACGTGATGTCTTCAAAAATAGGCTCGACAGTTACCTGTTTGGGACACTCTAGCTGGATTTCCTGCATAAGGCAGGTTGAACTCTTTCCACATCTATGATTCTAAATTAAAGTGGATCCCTGTTCTGGATACAAGAATATCTTATTTGAGCAGAAAGACACCTCCACCTCTTCAAAATAGGCATGCCAAATTCTTTCAGCTGACCTCTCACTTCTTGTGTTCATCACATACAATTCCAGAAATGGGGGAACCAAAGGAGGGGAGGCTAGAAAGGCCTGGTGCCTCCTTTTATCACTGAATCTCGTCAATTTTATCGAATGCCAAGGAAATTATGTGCAACACATATATGGTATATTAGGTTTAGGATGTGCATGCTATTAGTAAATGATCAAGTCAACAATTGTTTCTTCTGTGTTGTACAGAGCATTCTGAAATATTATGAAATAAACATTAATTCCAACTCTTTGAACAAGACACTGCAAATGCAATAAATCTTACTTCTGATTTCATATTATATTAGAATGGGAAGACAGTCAGCCTAATGAATGCAGCATTCCTTTCTTCATGGCAATTCCAAGAGATTCAGAGGGCTCAATAACTGAAGAGCTCTAGTCCACTCCCAGTGAATTAAAAATGGTTAATTCAGTCTACCACAGGATGGCTGAACACAATGGGAACTGATCTTGCTGGCTGTGTGCCAGATACTACAAAACACAACAAACATGAAACATGAAAGCGACATTAGGAGTTGACCTGCTCAGCTGCAACTCATCTATATATATAAAATCCGAAGTGGCGTCCTACGAGGAAGCAAAACTCAAAAACCCCCCAACAGAAATCAACCAAAATTCCCATGCACCTTCCTTAACCCACTAGGTACAAACAAACAGAATCAGAATTAAGAACAACAAAACAACACATCCACAAAACGACAAAACAACTGAGCATGCGCAATGGCGGCCAGCCGCCAGTTCCCCCGTGCGCGCACATGGCCTGCCGGCCAACGCTCCCTCCACGAAGCCCCGCCCCCATCCTCCCTCGCCACGCAAAGCCGGAGAGCCCAAGTTAGCTTACGTGGAGCCCTTTGCCCATGCAGCCTTCCCTCGGCAGGAAAAAAAGCCCCAGCCGACGGGAGGAGAGAGCAGCAAAAGAGGCGAGTGCTGGGAAGGGAACGGAAAGGCGGGGGGGGAGAGGAGGGGGACAGGCCACGCCCCCATCCTCCATGCTCCTTCACTCCTCCTCCCCAAAGCCGAAGCCCCGCCCACTCCAAGCCCCGCCGCGTCGCACGCCGCCTCAAAGCCTGCTGGGAAAGCAGCAGCAACGGAGCATCCACGGAGCATCCACGCAAGGAGGGGGGAGGGGGAGGAGGAAGGTCCACGGTGCTTGAATGAAGGACCTTCTTCTCTCCCTCCCTTCCCTTCTTTCCTCCCTTTCCTTCCTTCCTTTCTTTCCTTTTCTTCCTTCCTTCTCCTTCCTTTCCTTCTTTCCCTCCTTCCCTTCCTTCCTGTCCATCCTTCCTTTTCCTTCTTTTCCTTCCTCCTTCTTTCCCTTGCTTCATTTCCTTCCCTCCCTCCTTTCTTCCCCTCCTTCCTTCCTCCTTCCTTCTCCTCCCTCCCTCCCTCCCTCCCTCCCCATTTCCTTCCTTCCTGTCCCTTCTTCCTTTCCTTCTTTACCTCCCTCCTTTTCCTCCTTTCCCTTTCTTCATTTCCTTCCCCTTCATTTCCTTCCCTCCCTCCTTCCTTCATCCCCCTCCTTTCTCTCTCTCCTTCCTTCCTCCCTTCCTGTCCCTCCTTTTTCCCCCTTCCTTCCCTTCTTTCCCTCCCTCCCTTCCTTTTCCTTCCTTCCTAACCCTCCTTCCTTCATTTCCTTCTTTCCTCCCTCCCTTTCCTCCTTCTTTCCTTTCTTCCCCCTCATTTCCTTCCCTCCCTCCTTTCTTCATCTCCCTCCTTCCTGCCTCACTCCCTTCCTGCCTCTCCTTTCTTTTCCTTCCTTCCTGTCCCTCCTTCCTTCCTTCTTCCTTTCCTTCTTTCTAAGAGATAAATACAATATTAAATGGAAGGGACAGTCAAGAAGTAACAAGAGGAGGGAAAATGGGAAGGAAGGAAGGAGAGAAGCAGGGAGGGAAAGAAGGAAAGAAAGAAAGAGAAGCAAGAAAGGAGAGAAGGAACAAAAGATAGGGAAGGAAAGATGTAACCAAAGAGCAAAGAAAGAGAGGAAAGAAACAGGTAGAGACGGAAGAAATATAAGAGATAGGGAAAGAAAAAGAAGAAAGGAAGGAAAGAGGGAAAGAAGGAGAGAAAAAGGGAGGGAAGGTTGGCCACAGCAACGTGTGGCGGGTACAGCTAGTGTCTTCTAAAACAACACAAGGCAGTGGAAAAGGAAGTGGGAAAAAGCCACCAACTATTTTGCTGCAAACAAACCTGAAACAGTACCAGGAACTTTAAAATCTAAGTTGGAAAACACTCTCCCTCTCTACACATGTGCACGCACACACATATACACACAAATATCCATCTACTACACAATTCATTTGCTGGACAGAGCAGAATTCTGTTGCGTGACTTGCTCTACTAAAATGGGAAAGAAACTGTGCAGTAAGGTAGGTTGTGGCAGTGATGTTAAACCTGGAGACTCTTAAGTAGCTATGCACACCATTTATCAGTTAAATATGGTAAAGTGCATGATAAATATATAGTACTTATACCTGTTTCATACAGAACAGCGAGCTTGATTATTAAGATAATCCAACTGTGAATGTCAACATGCTGCACTCTATATCCTAGCTGTCTGTGGTAACTATGATATATGGATCCAGCAACTCAAAAGCCAATGGTATGGCAAAACTTTTATCAGCTAAACGTTTTGTGATCAACTGTAATTCTAACTGACATGAATGAGGAAAACAAAACAAAATCTCAGATAAATATTTGCTTGTTTAAATTATTACTTCTTGCTTTCTTGCTGGTTCCGAGCCTCTACCTTTTTCATATGCAATATCCAACTTATCATTATGCACTTATATTAGCAATCTACAACAAGGCAAAAGAAAAAAAAAAGATTGCTCACATAAAATAGTTCAAACTCCCCCACCACCCAGCAAAAAAAGGAATTATTTTTAAAACCACAGAAGCAGGGCCTTTTGTTCAGGGTTACTTTGCCCTGATAACATCAGAAAGCAACTCACAGCACCTACTTCAGTGATAATAGTGAAACATAAAGTAGTCACCCCATTATTCACAAGCACTACAGTTCCTTGACACAGGGCCATCTATTCACAAGAAATTACAATGGGAAGAAATAAAGTACAAAGTTTCTTAGCTATGTTGTAACTAGGCCATTTAAGTAGTTTATATGGGGAAAAACAATCTACCCAAAAGATAAGGAGTTACAGTGTGGTCCCAACAGAACAACAGGATAAATCCTATGTTCCTATTGGGTTGGGCTCCCCGTCGGGGAATCGAAACCAGGTCTCCCGTGTGACAGGCGGGGATACTCTGGGATACAACGGCCATACCACTGATAAAATCTATTACACTTGGCATATCCTCCATCACAAAAAGGAAGGAAAGTACAATATTTTGCCAAATTTCTATTCAAACTTGGCTTCAAACAGAGTATATTAAAATAATAACAGAGGGCACAACTACACTGACCATTTAATGCGGTTTCAAACTGGTATTGAAGAAAGTGATTTTACTGTACCCAGAAAATCCTGGAACCAGTTTGAGGCCCAGATGGTGATCACATAAATTACGGAGCATTGATGCATATTAAGGGCTTCCTTCCACATGCCTTTGTGAGAGTTAGCTGTATGGCTGCCACAGTTTGAAGCCAGCTTCAAACTAGTCAGTGCAGCTGGGGCCAAAGATTTGTTGGTTTGCTTATTTGAAGTGCCTCACTAAAAATGTCACTAAGAAAGGTATACCCCCCCTCAGAAATTTCATGGCAGCCATTCACTTGTGGAAAAATAAACGGCATTATCCTGCATGAAAGGTGGAAGGCTGCTGGGGGACATGGCATCTATTCAAGCCATAGAGAGGAAAGATTTTAAAAAGAAGAATATACTCACCACTTTCCAGCGGTCCTTCACCACGTAGTTGGCCGGCAGAATGTCGACCTGTTCCCCTCCCCCACTCATGTTTGGTTCGTCCTTGATAGCAGCTGCTAGGCACTGCATTTGCCAGCCAGAGAATATTTTAGTAGCAGCTCCCAATTTAAATGAGCCATTTATCTAGAAAGAAGAGAAAAACATACACACAAAAGGGGAGGGGGAAAACACAAAAGAATTAATGCAGGTCATTGCAGGCAGAACATGCTGGTGAAACCAACCTAGTTTAGACCCAGCAAAGGACAGAAGCATTAAGAAGGTGACAAACTCACCTTGAGGTCAGAGCACAGCTTGCGACAAGCCTTGCTGCCCAAGCAATTGCCCTCTTTATGAAATCCTTAGCTGTCCTCATGCACAAAATCAGCAGAAGCACCCATGCTGTGAGTCAGCAGCACAAACATAAAAGTGGTGATATACATAACTGGCTTAGATCATGCAGGGTTTTCAGTGCTCCAGGTGGGGATCCAAAAGCCAGCTAGTCAAAGATAGGATGAAGCCAAAGTCTTGGATATTACCCAAGTACCGGTCAAAAGAATTATGAGCGCAATTGTGCAAGAACCACAACTATACCAAGAACATAATTTTTCTTGCTGAATTAAAAAGATAACTCTCTCTTCAAACAGTCCCTCAGTCCACAAGGCTTAGCAAATATCAAACTCAGCAAGCACCCAAGTGGACTACAATGCTCTTTTTGAGCACCAAGAGTGAAAAGTGCTCCTTCCAAGTAGGAAAAGGCACGTATTCAATAGTTTTAACTAGCAATATATAGTCCTTTCAAAGAACAGAAAGAGTCTAATACTCACCAAGCTTACTCAGAAGTAAGGTACATTGCTCTCAATGGCACTTACTTCTAAGGGTGCACACTTACAATTATCACCTCTGTTCCTGCTACTTTTCCTTGAGTTTGGGGCATTGAATTCCATTTCCAAAGTCTCAAGGAGAGTTGCAGCTCTTTTCTTATTAGATAACACATAAAATACAATAAATGTAGTCTTCATTTACTTCTCAATTATATTTAGTTCAATGTCTGAATGAATCGGTGGTGGTTCTATTACATTAAGTAAACCTATTTGTTTCCTCAAGTATGTTGCTTTAAGACTTTACTACCACCTTTTATAAACTGGGAAACAGCTGTCAGCATTATATCTTTCTCTAACAGTTTTATCTTCCATTCATGTTAAATATCTCTTGCCTTGCTGCTAGTATGAAGCCCAAGAGTGGCCAAAGTACATCATTTTCTATTATTTGATTCTTGATCAGACAGTAACCCTACTATCACTGTCTGATCAAGAATCAAATAAGAAGAAATACGGGCCACTAAAACTGGGCTTCAAAATTAAGACAGACGTTAACCACAATGTCATATATCATGGCTATGTACACTCAGTCTTATACGTTTAACATCTTAACTCTAGACTTTGAGAAACTGAAATGCTCTCTCGATATAGTGATCACTGCCTTTTGATACAACAGGGTGGCAACTATGTACATATTGATTGTATTCCTTTCTTCTTTCAAGTTTTTCATTTTGTGCAGACTGTTTTCTTTGGTTTTTAATTATGTGGTATTATACATTCATTAATATGTGGATTATACATTCATTAATATCTGGATCATTTTATTTCCAGTTGGGAACCTAACACTCAATTTTTTACTTCAAAACGGTCACATGTTAAATCACATGTGGAATCTGAAAAACAGAGAGATCACAAGAGTTTACGCCAATAAAAGCAGAATACAACAGTTTCGGAGTGGTACCTGCATTCAAGCTTGCTATGAGGACAATAAATTTACATTTACATTCAAAAAATAAAAGCTAACACTGCAAGTTCAAAAGAATTGTCAGAAATATACATTATGACTCACAGGACATTCAGCACTGATCATGACAGGGAGAAAAGAATTGCAAGAGTAGTGGTTTACTTTCAAGATCTTTTAGTGTGCTCAAAAACACTGTAATTTCTCCATCCAGAAATCCATGTACATGCAAACAGAAGTGCTGGTTTATTACACAGATGGCATCTCCCACTGAATCCAGTGGAGATATCTAACCTGCCATGTAGGTGTTTTGATTTGATCCCTCTTTTGAAATCAATGGGAACATTCTTGATAGAGGTAGAATTGCATAGCTTTTCTGATTTCATGAATAATCATTGGATTGAGGTTGTGATCTATAATTCAACCAACAAGCACTACGAGTGCCACTAAAGTTTTCCTAATGTCGGTTCCTAATGTTGACTCTCAACAGATTGTATTAATCTCTGACATCTGTCCCACAAATGTGACCTAATCATATATAGTTTCAACACATATTTTAAATGATGGTTTATAGTGCTAAACAAATATTTAAATAAGTTTTTAATTTGGAAAACTGTTATGGATTTTACTATAATAAAAATTAAAATACTCATCTACAAATACTCATCTACGCAGGCAAATTAACGCAGGTTCAAAAATACTGTCTGAAATTGTCTAGGAAACCAGTGAGAATTGCAGTAAATAAAAATGGCTTTCAATTTTTCTGTAAGTTTGGCACAGGACACCCATGCCCCATTTAAATGTCTTTAAAGCCTTTTTAAAAAATCTAGTATGGAGTCTTTGACAATCTTATGCATAGGATAGAAAAGAAGGCTTTTAATGTGAAACAAACATTTGTTAATAATGGGAAGTACAATCCAACCAGCCCTGCAACTGTGAGCAATTTCACTTGCAAGACTCTCTATCCGATGGACTGCATGGCAATTTATGTAGCTGTTGTAATTAGGAATCTATTATAGGCAGAATATTATATAAAACTGCCATTTCCTCATTAAACAAGATAATTAGACACAGTCACTAACAAGATAACATAACTTCATAACAAAAAACCTAAACTGACCTCATTCAAGTCAGATTTGGCCATAGTTGTTAATGTTTTATTCATCTTCAGATTGGACTACAGTAACAGGCTCAACATTGGGCTCTCCTTGAACATATACAGAAATTACAATTGGGAAAAATTTAGTGAGGCAAATTTCTAAACATTCAAATAGAACCAAACTCTCCTGCTATCTGTAATATTTAAATAGGACTGCAAAATTTATGGAAGAGCATTCTCACTCACCTTATGCAAAATGCTGCGGGAAGTCTTATTATCACTACATAAACACATTACTCCACTATTGTTTGATAGATCCCACTACTGTTTTTGAGTTCAGCCATTGGTTTTTAAACCAAAATGGCTTGGGGACGAGGTATCTTAAAGTATTGCCTCCTATATGTACATGCCTATGTGATCGTTTCAAAATTTGATGCCTATTTGGAGTGATTCTATTGATGAAATTACAGTGCCCTATGCAGACACGATCACTTGGTCATCCCAACACCAAGATGACCAAGTGATCTCCTTAAAAGCCACGCTTTACAACAAAAATCTTTGAAAATCGGTGGCTCTGCTTTGATTCTATTTAATTTAGTGGTTGTGGCTTACTGCTTTATTTATTCATTTATTTTGTTTATTTTTCTTTTTCTATAGGCATCAAAAGGGGTTTTGCTTTTTTGTTTTTGGGTGGGTTTTTTAAATAATGTAAAATACTTTTGCTGTAATTTGGCAAAGATTTTTGGTTTCTTAATTAAATATTGGCCAACTGAGAAGTTGCATTCCCAACTGTAAAGTTCCATTTTTAAGGTACAAATAGCATGAAACAATTGATCAGTCAGTCTTTAAGCTCAGTTTTAAACATGAGGCTTAAGTCTGTTGACTTACTTTATATACTGACTGAATGTTTAGTTACGAGAAGTCATGAGAATTGAAGTAAGTGACTGCCACCAATGGAAGGTACAGTATGACTTAATAAGGAAGGCCATAAAATCCAGTTCACACACAATTATGAGGTCTGGATGTGATTCTGGCAGCCAGTTATAACAGCTCGCTATTCATGAACATGGGCATGAGTTGAAAAAGAAGCCAGTAATGTGTCTGTCAAACTGGCCTAAGAGAGAATACTGTTTGTTTTTTTCATTGGGTTATTACAACCTGAGAAACAGAATCCAGCAAGCTGTCAACAATATCTACACAATTTATAGAACAAAGTAAATGTTAAGCCCTTTGTAGTCTCCAACATAAATGGCTTTCAGCATCCTTATATGGCTCCAAACGTCAGTGATTATTTGGGCCAGGAAACCAATTTCTTTAACAGAACACGTATGCTGATTTGCCAATGTGGCTATTGTATGGTACAATGCTAGCCAAAGCCTTCTTCAATTTCTTTTATATGCACAACAGCATATACTGAGGCTACTGTAGCATAGTCAACATAAAGCTTTTTTGTTGTTCATTCGTTCAGTCGTTTCCGACTCTGTCGGCCATCACCACTCCCAGCTCCTTCAAGATCAATCCAGTCCAGTTTGGTAGAGCTAGCTCTACCAAAGTGTCTGCAGTTAATCCATCCCCTTACCATTGCCACTTCTTTGCAGTTTTCTTCTCCTAATTCCTACTGCACATTATATTACTTTTTGTGCATTATTCCAAAAATCTCAGCCAGCCAACAGTAGGCTTGGGCACTTACTTACCCAGCTTACTATTTTAAGCACCCATGCACCCGTCTGCCATTTCAAGTGCTAAGCTTGCGAACTGAACAGTTTTTCTTGCATTCAGGAAGACAAGCAGGTAAGCATTGGGAAGAGAACATGGACAATGGGTTTTCTTTTTTTAAAAAAAAACAAAAACAATCCTATCTCAAGCTCTTTCTAAATTCACTTCCCTGGAATATATTTCAGTCAGTCAAATACTTTCAATAGATGGTGGATTTGAACAGAACTTTAAGTAGCATTTTTTTATCAAACTGGGGTAAAAATAGCATTTGGGATGGAAAATACGGGTGCACCCCCCTGACATCTATTGGATAGAAAAAAAATAGCCCTTTAATTTATTTAAGTTTTATATAGCATAGTTCACCAAAGCTTTATTCTTCTTTTGAGTGCAGTTTCTTATAGTGTGTCTGCCAATCTGAACAAAAGTGACCCTTAGAACTATTTCTCTATCTCGACTCAAGTTATGCAATACATCCAGTCAGATGAAGACAAAAATACTTTTTAAACGGTGCAGTGAACTTTTTACAGGTGAGATAAAATATTTTATATAA